CTAAGAGCAGAGGATTTTTTACTCTGAGCAGACCTACCCCTTACAGAAAGAGGTTGGACACTAATCTCCACAAGGCCATTCTCATTCAGCAATTTAGACTCAGGTGTAGTATCTAAATTAACAATAGTGTTATTCAGATTCTCAGGGACAGGATCATCCACCATGTTGGAATTCTCCTTGTTGCTAGCCTCTTCACCCTGTTTCAAGCCCTTCTCTTTTGAGGAAGAGACCATCTGATTACTTTGAGCACAGTTGGAGCTTTTCTCACCAACTATACTCTTAGCAATAGGATTCTCAATGGGTTAGGAAGCATTATCAGGATTGTTGGGGCTGACACTAGGAATAGACTGAGAAGACTTGAAATCCGAAAAGGAACTATAATAAGTTCTCAACCAGTCCCCAAACTGACCAACAGACAGACAGTTCTTACTGAGATCATCTTTTTTATATGAGCAATTCCTATCCGTATGACCTATGCGGCCACAGTAAAAGCAAAAGGTTTGCAAATTTTCATATTTGAAATCCACCCATCTATTTTCACTACCCACCTTAATATGAGTACCTCTAAGAATAGGGTCTTTCATATTAAGATCAACCAAGACTTTAACAAAGTGTCCAGTAGTACTCCCAATGTCAGGAGCCTGAACATCACGAACATAACCAATTAAGGACCCTACTTTCACCCCAACTTCAGCAGATAGCCAGTGCAGGGGTAAATTTAAGATTTCACCCAAATCTTAGCTATCTCATCTGTTTCAGAGAATTCATTACCAGTAGGGGACCATTTTTTAAGAAGAAGATATTGCCCGTCAAAAGACCAAGATTTACCAGTTAATATTTTATCCCTATCCTCAGCAGACTGGAAAAGAAAGTGAAACCTATTATTACCTAAATTCCTGATAGAGAATGGTTCTTTGGTTAACCAGATTCCTCCCAGGGTAGCTGTTTGTTATGCTTTTGTGCTTATTTTCTTGTGTTTTATGTGGTTAGTCGAGTCATTTTTAGGTTCGGTTTTGAGTCAATCGGTCCACTTTGTTGTGTTTTATGTGTTTTCTTTCTTGTTATGTATTTTTGTATCTTTGTCATATTTTCGCGTCTCTTTTGGTGTTTTGTTTAGGTCCGTATTGCAATTCCAGGAAGGCATATCGTTCGTGCCATTTTTGAGCCATCCGAACCACTTACGAGCCATTACGAGCCATTTTCGAGACGCAAGTCGCACCCGAAGGTAGCCCGACACTCGCAGCGAACCCGAGTTCGCAAGCTGCCAAACGCTCACCACAACTCCAAAGGCATGCACTTGCTGCGAAATCAATTTCGCAAGCTGCCAACCGCACATTCCAGCACACTATTCCCCCAACTCGCAGCGAACTTCATTTGGCGAGCTGCGAAATGCACTTTTCAGTTGATTTTTCACTCACACTCGCTACGAATCCAGTTTTGAGACCTGCGAACTTCATCATTTCATTAAGTGTGTGTGTTTCTAGTGTGTGTTTATGGTGTAGCTATAAATAGACATTATGCTTTGTATTTTTGAAGACAACCCTCATTTCCCAACTTTTAAGTTGGGAATTCCTCTCTATTTTCTCTTTTTTCCTTTTTATGCTTTGGTTTGGAGCTTATGAATCAAGTTTTCCGGTGAATTTCCGGCGATATTGTTTCGAGCAAAGTTTCGAGCTTTTGACTCCGTTTCTTCTTCCAAGTGCGTGCAAGAGTGGGTACTTAGTCTTAAGCCTCATTACTTCGTATATCTTTGTTTGCTTTCGTGAAAATTGATATTGTGCTTGTGTTGGTTGGAGGAAAAGGTTAAATCTTTGGATCGAGAATGCTTGACTAAGTGTGATTAGGAGTTGAATGCTTGCTCGTTTTGTGCTAGAGCTTGGTTTAGCTTCCTAGGGTTTTAGCTAGCATGACAATGTTCGGTTATTTGAGTGTGATTGATCATGGAGACTCCGTCAAACCAAAATCTCTCTTTCCCCCTTGATCTCTCTAATCTTCTTGCGTGCTTTACTTGCTTTTGATTTCAATTTCGTAGATTAGCTTAGCTTAAATCAACCCTCACTTCAAGCGATTAACATGTTTAGGACCCTTTTGATTGTGTGATTTTGACGACTAGATAGTGAACGAAGCTCCGAAGAGCCTTCCTTTGAGAACGACCCGAGTAGGGTAGCTCGGTTACCACATGCCCAAAAATACTACAAACAGTAGCCCTCAGACCATTGAAATTAGCTTTTTTCTCCCCAAATAATTGACCAACTAAACTATTCTGACAATCCGATAAACCAGGGGCTATAACTTCTACAGGTAATTCAACTCCTATTGATTCTTTATCAGACAAATTAAATTTAAGCAATTTATCCGCAATATCTTGATCCATAGCAAATAGGGAAGAAAAAACAAGAAGCAATCAAAAACTAAAGGAGGACACAACAGCCTACCACAATAACCACAGATAGAGCAAAAATCAATTAAGCTTCATACCAACCAACGCCAAAGACACTCAATACATAGCAAGAGATAAGTTACCAGAGTTATAATAATAATTAAACCCATATGCCGAAAGCATGAACAGAAGGACAGACCAAAGCAAAAGGGGAAACTCGCAACCCTAGCCAAGAGCGCACAAATGCCACCAACCTAATCCTACAAGGGAACAAAAGAAGCCAAACGAAAAAGAGCAACCACGAAACAAGGACAAACAGAAAACAAACACAGAAGCAGAGACCCAAAGCAAAAGATCGACGGGAGGAGGGAGATGAAAGCGGCGAAAATCCAAAAACTGGAACTAAAAACTCTAGAGAGAGAAAAACCCTAGAAAGGGACTTACACTTAAAATGTTGTTTCTGACCCCATGCATATTTAGTTCATATTAAATGCATAGTACTGTATGCATATTTACTTCATAATGCATAATAGGGATCAACGGGTCAACGCCGGAAGTCAACAATTTTCGCCGGAAGTCAACGTCGGAAGTCAACCGTCAATGCCGGAGTCAACGATCAACGCCGGAGTCAACGTCAACGCCAGAGTCAACGGTCAATTGTCAAAATAATATTTAAATAATTAAAATAATAAAAATAAAGAATTAAGTAATAAAAATAAAGAATTATTATTTAAATGAAGAATTAACTCTTGACCACATATCATGTACCAATCTAGTGGCCAAGAATGAGTCTCACATGCACACTTTAAATATGTGGACTCATTGGATCCAATATATATATATATATATATATATATATATATAGAGAGAGAGAGAGAGATTTGATTATTAATAAAAATGATTCATGTAATTGCGAGTTTGTCTTTAGCGTTGTTAGCAGGCTCTAGGCGATTTTCGGATCTGCCTCCCAGCCTTTTTAGTCCTTGGTTGTAATATTCAGTTTTTGGTTGTTTTCTCTTCGCACTTTGTGCAGTTTTTATTAATATATTACCTTGATCATTTCGGGAAAAAAAAATTACAAAGTATTCTATTTATATATGAACCGCTTATAGATTGCACAAAATTTATAGAATTTCTAATATATGTTTTACAAATTTGAGGCATCAGAACAATTAATTAAATAAAAATATTAAAGTTACTGTTATAACAACTATTTACGTGATTTTATGGTGTTTTTTATGTCATTAGAATAAATTAGCTATTTAAAAAATATTAATAAGACAAAACCAATAACATAATATTAATTATCACATATATGTTGAAATAAAGTTTGGTTATAGAATATTTTCTATTGTTTAGCTCATAGTTTAGAAAATCGGGCCGAACCGGCCTTTTCGACCGGTTCAGTTTGCTAGAATGAATTGTTTTCAGCGAATCTTTAAAAAAACAATGAACACCGGTCAATTAGTCAAAACCAGTCAGAACTTGCTAAAAACCAGTCCGATTGGACCAATTAAACCGGTTCAATTTTTTATTTTTTTTTTTAAAAAAAATAAGTCTTGATATATTTAAAATAATATAAATAAAACATACTTGTTTAAATATAATGGATATATATAAATATCATTAGTTAGTTAAGTATTTGGATGTTTTTAAGTCATTTAAAATAATATAAATAAAACATACTTGTTTAAATATAATGGATATATATAAATATCATTAGTTAGTTAAGTATTTGGATGTTTTAAATTGACTTAAATTTAATTAAAAATATTTTAATATAAATTTTATTATATAAAGTAATATATGTTTGAAAATATTTATAAATTGAATATTTGTCTAACCAATTCAACCATTTGTCGGACCAGTAAATCATTAAATAGTAAATTGACCGTCTCGATGACCAGTTCAGAGCTTTGGTGTAACGCCTATTGTGAGTTTATAATCAATCAAATAGATGAATGAAAAAGGATAAATAAGTAAAAAAAAAAAAAAACCATAGTTTTTCAACTCGGATTGACCCGAATGATCGACCCGGGACCCGATTGACTCGGAGCCGAAACCGGCGTGGGTGGGCTATTCTGACCGGGTAAAAGTGGACCCGGTCAACCCAACCTTCACCCCGTCGACCCGAGGCATTAACCATAGTTTTTAAAATATTTTTTGTTTTTTTTAGAAAAAAACTATGTATATATATGTATTTATATGGTAAATATCTATTATTAATTACATATTATTAACATTTTAATGTATATTATTTTATTAACAAAATATTAATTTTATTACTTTCATAAATATTGATTTGACAAAAAACTCGGTATATATTTTTAAAAATTTTAAAATTAGTTATTCGATTTAGTAATTTACCGGTGACCTGACGATTGAACCGATCACCCGGTGACCTGACGATTGAACCGATCACCCGTGACTCGGAGAACTGCCTTGGCGATTATGGGGGTTTAAAAACCTATGAAAAAAAAACCCTAAAAAGTTTATCATTACCCCCATCTAGTACTGTCAATCTCACAGAGGGCAGATTGAAGTCTAAAATCTCGAATTCTCGTTTTTCTTGGCGATTTATAACTTGAGATATCAGATTTGCGGTGCATTTGATTCGCTGATGGCGGAGGAGGAGGCGGCTGCCGACCGGAATTGCGCCGATCTTAGCGACACGAGCGACTATACATCGGAGGATGAGGGAACAGAGGACTACAGAAGGGGAGGATATCACGCCGTGCGGATCGGCGACACATTCAAGCATGGAAGATATGTTGTTCAGAGCAAGCTCGGCTGGGGCCATTTCTCCACTGTCTGGCTAGCCTGGGACACGCATAAATCTGTAAGTTATTGGGCATTTAATTTCTCCAATTACTTCACCATTGTTTGCAGATTTTCAAGTAATTATGTGTTTGGTTATGTTTTATGCCTAATCTTTGAACTTCATAGCAGCTTCGGATGCTCTGTGTTGTTTATGTCTCCTGTGTGTTTATTTTCGTGTATTGCCATAAAGAAATGAGAAAGTATGACTATGAGTGATTGATCTTTTAGTTTATATTTAAGGATGTTTCTCCATGTTCTTTTAGTGATTGATCCCTACTCACCTACGAGAGTTTGGTGACTACATCCTGCGTTTATGTTTAAATAATATGATTTCTTCTGATGTGAGTTCGTAGTTAGCTAGTCGTTTTGTCATTTTGATTTGTATGTTGAGAAAGTATAAAGAAATGTATACATAAGGTTCTTATCGTCTGTAAAACATAACCGTATGCCCGTAATTCGTAATCATAATTTAGTTGAGTTACGTTTTTATATTTCATTTTGTGATTGAGGAATTAATTAGTATGCTTGATGTGATTGACAAGGGTAGTTTATGTTGACTATTTTGTTGTTGATTAAAATGGATCTGGTTGCAGATGTATGTAGCTCTGAAAATTCAAAAGAGCGCCCAACACTACACAGAAGCAGCCATGGATGAGATCACAATTTTAAAGCAGATTGCCGAGGGTGATCCGGAGGACAAGAAATGTGTCGTGAAGCTTCTGGACAACTTTAAGCATTCTGGGCCTAACGGGCAGCACGTCTGTATGGTATTTGAGTACTTGGGAGATAATCTCTTGACACTAATTAAGTACTCGGGCTACCGTGGTGTTCCCCTTCACATGGTCAGAGAAATTTGCTTCCATATTCTAGTTGGATTGGATTATTTGCACCGCCATCTGTCAATCATACACACTGATTTGAAGCCAGAGAACATATTGCTTCTGTCTATGATGGATCCATCCAAAGATCCTAGAAAGTCGGGTGCACCCCTTATTTTAGCATCCAACAAGGATAAGATTGCGTTGGAGCCCCAGACTTCTAAAGATATTAAGGGTTCACATAGTGGACTTACTAAGAACCAGAAAAAGAAATTCAGGAAAAAGGCTAAGAGAGCAGCTCAAAAGTGTACTGGGAATGAAGCTTTTGAAGAAGCCGAGCTAGACAATGAGACAAGTGATCCCGAAGATTCTCAAAAGGATGGTAAATCCAGTCGGGAGCCTCTTGAAGAGATAAGAAAAGCTTTGAGCGATGATGGAGTAAAGGCTGCTTCTGATTATAATAAGGCCAGTAGGAGAGTTGATCGAACTGCAAAGCAGAAGATGCTGGCCGAAGTTGACCTAAAATGCAAATTAGTAGATTTTGGGAATGCATGTTGGACGTACAAACAATTCACAAGCGACATCCAGACGAGGCAGTACAGGTGTCCAGAGGTTATATTGGGGTCAAAGTACTCAACATCAGCTGATATGTGGTCACTTGCTTGTATTTGCTTTGAGCTGGCCACTGGAGATGTTCTTTTTGATCCGCATAGTGGTGAAAACTATGACCGAGATGAGGTATTGCCATGCGCCCCTCTCTCTCACTCCCCCCAAATAATGTGGACATATGGATAAAATCTGATTATTGTGCGGATTGCATTTTTGGATGTTATGTGTTATTTTTACTTTGTTTTTTGTGAACTACTCTTCAGTTCTTGCAGTGGATAGTGATGTTTCAAATGGCATCCTGATAACTGAATTTGATTAATGTTTGTGTCAACCTGTACTTTTCATTTTCTTATTAATTTCAGGTAACTCTTGTGTTCTTTGGTGTTTTATTTTCTGCAGAATATACCTCAGTGTATAGTGCTTCCAATTCCTCATAACTGAAGTATGGAATCCACTTTTGTATGTGTGTTGATGCTTCTTCATATGATCAAATGTTTGTACCAATATATTTGCATTTAAAATTGTCTACGCTAGGAAAATATTTAAGTCTTTGTTTAAAAAGTTTGATTCTACTTGTAAAAGTTTCTTTTTGAGTTGGCAAGTAGCCAAGTGCTGATATACAATGGTTGGAAAAGGAAATAATAATAATAATAAAAAAAAAAGCTAGGGACTGCATAACAATTTACTCTTGAGAGGTTGTTAGTGAACATTTCTGTTTGATTTTTCAACCACTTGTGTCCAAAGCAAGGAAACGAAACTAAATACAAAAGCGGCATACTCTCATGCTTTTGAAAAGGTTGTATACTCGTTTTCCTGTCTTTACTTTTTGAGCATCTGGCTTCATATTTTCACTTGTGACCTGTACCTAGAAGAAAAGGTGAATTGTCTGTTGCGACAAAATTAGTTGTCTTTGACAAAGTCCATATGAAAATACACTTCTTCATAGTGCAAGTCATTAATATCTGTCAAAATATTTACGAGCTGAACCATAAATATAAAATAACAAAGTATCTCGAGGCGAGTTTCCATACTGCAAGTATTACATGTTATCATAATTAGTTTATCATGATTTGTAAAATTTTCGCTGGAATTGAACAGACTGCAGACTGCATGGGTTGCGTTAGCATGCGATGTCATATAGTTTTTGTGGCAAGCAAACTAGTTTTCCCTTATGCAGGGGCGGACCTAGGCGGGGGCCCGTAGGGGCACGGGCCCCTGTGCAATTTTGAGAAAAATTAGTACATATATAATTATAATGTAAAATAATCATAAAAAAATTTTAAAATTTAAGTTGTTTGCATTATATATTTGTATTATGTTGTAGACAACATATATAAATATACTTAGATCAATTTTTCACAAAAGTCAACATTGATCTTGATACATATTGAATTTTAAGTGTTCTTAAGTTATAAAATATATTTAAACTTAGCTACTAAATTGTGTTTGTCATTGATTTTTTAACTAATACAATATTTATCTTTATTATAAAGAAGTTTACGAATGCTGACGTTGTAAGAATATCCAATGCAAAATAAAAAAAAATGTTGGTATTTGAAAAAGATTTATTTAATGATATTTGAATTAATGTAATTATAAGTAATATAATATATAAGAACATGCATAGAATAAATATCATTTTTTTTTTTTTTTT